AGAAAAAGGCACATTGGTTAATTCTTACCACTTCATCCTATACCAACACTGCAGGATCCCAGAGGCATTGTGTCTCCCAAACTAGGGAGAACATCACTGCTAGTACTTCAGAACAGACTTCTACAGTGCATTCAACCCCTCTGTCATGACCAGCAGTGAAAACAAGACTTGCCCTCTCATACGCAGGAACACTTAAATGCACGGTAAAAAGTTACTGGCAACAAAAGACAAGGTCACAAACAAGTCTGGTCTTCACCTTCTGCAAGAACTTAAAACTACCCTTATCCCATTCAGGTAAAAAGAACAGCAAAGTAATAAAGCTCGTATTCTAATATTCTAATTTTTATCTCTTCTTATGAAACGTGTGCCTTTTATTACATTTAAATTTGCTCAATTCAGAAATGTGTTCAGCTGTTATGAGTGTTAGATATGCACTGCTTCTTTCTCACCAAGAAATAGGGTAGCTTTTAACTCATCTGACCCGTAGCAATTTTTTAGTGCATTGAATCAAAGAGAAGAAAAGAATCGCAGTCAAACACACCACAGTGCCTCAGAAAGGGTGAACACTTTACTAGCAACCAGGCAGTAAAGACAGACAGAAAGGAAAGTGAACTATGCCAGAGATATCACATATGCTCCAATTAGATTGAAAAAGCCATGACATTTTACAGTAATTAAGCACAAGACAAATGCAACATGCCAAAACCAATGAAATGTGCATATCTAGAGCCAATCTTTTAAAAGATGTCATGAGACATCAACAAATTATGATTTTGCAAACCAAGCAGAGTTTTACAGGGTCAATTCTTGGGTGAGAGACAGTTAAACAAAATCTACAATTAGCACTAAGTTATTTAAACAATCAACTGAACTTTCCTCTGAATTTCTTAGCAACTGGCATGACATTCCTAGGTGCAACGTATGTTGAAAGAAGCATTTTCCAAAGAAATTCATTGTTAGCTTTTGTCTTCTTTACAGCAAGACACTTAAACATACAGTTCCTGCCTCCTGAACTTGTTCTTGATTCCAAGGGTGAATAATACTTTTCACTCATTTACCTTGACTACATAATGCAGTGTTCCCATGTACAACTAAAACAGATGCCACATATCACCCACCTCAGCAAGAAGCACTTCATCAGTAGCCCCCTCATACACACACCAGCATAACTTACAAAGCACTGTAGTTTAAATTGCCTTTCAGATCTTGTTTGTTTTTTAAGCAACTTGTTAAACTCAACAAAACTCTCCTGTGAGCTTAGAGATTATGTCCCCCTTTCCATGTATTTGATCATACAACCAGTCTGGAAAGTAAGTGTCATCTTGTCGATTAACACACCTCAAAACTTTTTCTTCAGTTAAAACACAAATGGCTCCAAAACCTGGCCCTACAGAATAGTAGATGCTGCTGAAAACAGTCCACAAAGTAGGTTATACCTTGTCATTAAAGCAATTAAAGCATTGAACACAAAACCAGTAATGAGATGAAAAGCACACTGTCCTTTCCACCACCCTGCAGCCTGCTTTACACTGACACAGGCACTAGCAAACATCCAGACAAAATACACAAGTATTCTCAAAATGGAACTACATAATCTTCCTCTGCAAAGATGATCTGGCAGCGCAAGAAATCTCTGCTAAATAACATCTCTCAATAGCCAAGTTACACTTTGCTTTATTTCACATTATTAGCTTCTCCTTCTACCTCCCTGGACCACCCTAAGGGATTCTTCTCCATTATGTTCTTCAAATACTTGCAGATATTCATATCTCCCACTTAGCCACCATTTAGCCAAGTTTCATACATTTCTTTTCATCTTCTTTCCCTCATAAATCTATCTCTTCAGCCTCTCCAGCATTCTTGCTGCTCTTCCTTGAATTTCTTCCAAATTGCTGACATCTTTCAGCAACTAAAGAACTTCCAATTGCATGCTGCACTCTAGATGCGTTTTCTGTGCTCTAAAGAAAGATAACTAAGGCTTTTCAAGAAATATTAATGGTCCAAGTCTGGAAAAAATCTAAATCGGAGATTTATTTTTTTTTTCCAGAATGGATAGTAATTATCCCCATTTCACAGAGCAGGAGAGCAGAGAGAAGTATCTGAATTATTGCCGCACACAAGCAGTGCCAGAATAAGAAACAGATCCATGTTCTGCCATTCTCAGTCATGAGGTCTGCCAAGTTTCAGCCCACAGATGATGTAAGACAACGTTCCCAGGCTGTGATCTATAAGCAAACTCAAGCCATTCCCAAGTGACTATGGGACAACACTCAGGGAGCCCAACACTTACCGGCTATGTGGGCACCAGCAGGGCCATTAACACCCTACAACATCCCATGGTGTGCTATTACCTTAAGTGCTCAGTGTACAGGTCTCTAATACATTTACCCAATTGTTACTGCTATATAGCTTTGTTTCTAAAAGCAGCCCTCCACTACCACGAGGAATAGCTTACTCAAGTAAGCTATTAAATGCTAGAGACTGTTTTTAAAATACTAGAGGACTGACTCCCAGGCTGAGGCAAAGCAAGGCAGTCTTCAAACTTGCATGTTTCCTTCCCTCCTGCTCCCCAGTACATTTGTGAAGGAATCACAGGGAAGTAACTTCAGAAAAAATTACAGAGATCTCTTCACAAACAAAATCTGAGAGACTACACAAGGGGAGACAAGTCTGAAGAATGGGGGGGGGGAAAGGATAGGGGGGGAAAAAGACTGATCAGTTAAATTTAATTAAAAAAATAAAATCTAAAAACCCACAAACAGGATGCAGACATTAAAAAAGCAACACTGACCTAACAAAGGAATGTGAACTGCAGTTGACTTAAACAGCATCACAGCAATAGCCCTCCCCCTACACACAAATCTCTGCAACTCTTAAAGACACAGGTTTTCAAGCCCTCACAAATTCTGTGGGTTTTTGCTCTGCCAGGCCACACTGTTTTGACACTCTTAGTTTGAGCTGATTTAACTTAATGCCTCTTCTTTCCAGGTAGCAGGAGTACCCTAATTTAACCTAGACTAAAGAAAACTGAGTCGTATTATTTTGCTTACCTTAGAGAGGTGCTGAATTCTAGTATTCAGTTATATATTCTTCTAATTGAAAGAACTATAAGGGGTCCTTTTTAATGGTTTGTTGTTAAATATCAGAAGAGTATAACCAAGATTAGGTAACACCTTGGTGAGAAGTATAATTTCTTCCCAGTAACTGAATATACAGAGTAAAAAGCAATTTTCTAAATCTGTGTATGATTTTCTTAATGTGGTTGCTAGTTTGCAATTATTGTTTCTGCTTATACCCACAATACTGACAAAGACCCCTTACTGGGCTTCTCCCCTTCCCATTAAGAACTATTTCCTCTATTCAAAATGGGGAAATCACAACATAAATGCCATACTCCTGTTTGTCTTCTCTTTCATCACATTTCTGCCTCCAGGAGAGAAAACTACTAAGGACACTGGTTTTAAGCAAGATATCATATTGATTTTCAGGCTGAATCCTTTCTGGCATTAAGGTAATTTACACATTATTTCACCACCGACCTAAAGGTAGTTATCTCAGTTGAACACTTAAAAGCTTTTCTGTAATAGAAAATGCAAAACATACATATCTGGTGCAGTTTATTTCATTAAATATGCACTGTGCTTGCTAATTAGGCTCTCAGACCTATTTGCAAAGTTTGGCATTTGGTGACAAAACTGCAATTATAACTAGGATAAAGGAGAGTTTTCGTCTAGCCAGAAATTCTTGTGTTGTGATAGGAAGAAAAAGGAAGTTTGCAAGTGCACTAATTTTGATTCTTAGCATCAAGCCTTAAGTGGAAAATAGTCCATCTTCAGCAAGAAAGCAGGAAACTTCAGTTTACTCTCCATATCAGTTATTATCTGATTGATTGCTGTCATAGAACATCATTTCTTTTCTCCACTTGTACAACAGAAATAATCTTGCTCATCTCCCTAAAAGCAGGTGGAAGATTAAATGGGTTGAAGACACTAAAGAAATACAAAGTACTTGTAGTACTGTTAAAATCTTATCCCATAAACTGAGTTAAATGCAGCACCTATTACCACCTTTTGAAAAGGCTCAGAACTACTTTCCTACCTTAAAAGAAGGAGAAAGCAAATAGTAATGACACTTATAAACTCTAGGACCCATCATTCCCTGTTCATTAAGCTAAGGCAGCATAAATTATGCTGTAATTCACCAAGGATGAAAAATACAGTAATATATAATATCATAAAACCAGAAGACACAAGCAATAAAAAAAACTTAAGATCGCCAAAAACTCATTTATCAAGCAGTTTTTGCTTGAAGGCAAGTTAGGCAATAATATGCACAACAGAGCCAATTTAAGGAACTTGCATCCATTACACTATATTTAAGTAGCAGCTACAGGTAAAAATGATTGCAGGTTTATTACCCTTTATTTGTTCAGAAAGGCTCTGGTGAAAAATCTCACGTATATTTAGAGAGGAGAGATTTCCGTAAACTTTTCTGGACAGAGCACGATTTTGATGTTACTACACTTGCCCAGAAGTCATTTTGAAACCAGAGCTTGTTGACACAGGAGATGTGGCTTCAGGTCATTCAGTCTCACAGTGCAAGTCACAGCCACCATCATTAATTAGAAGAGGTACAATCCACCAAATCCCCAGCAGTCCAATTGGGTATGAACCAATTCCAAAACTTCAGGACACTACTGGTAACATTCAGACTTCTAATATGGCAAGAGCCTCTATACTTGACATAGATAACTAAAGGAGGGTAGATTTAGACCAGGTATAAGGAAGACATTTTTATGGTAAGTGTAAAAACACTGGAACAGGTTGCCCAGAGAGGTCATAGATGCCCCATCCCTGTAAACATTGGTTTGATTCTGAGCAACCTGATCTAGTTGAAGACATCACTGCTCACTACAGGGGGGCTGGACTAGATCATCTTTAAAGGTGACTTCCAACTCAAACTATTCTATGGTTAGGACCAGTTAGCTGATAAGCACCTACCTGGAATGCGGATTTTAAATTTGCCACTTTGTCCAAAACCACCATCTATTATTCCATCTTCTCCTGTAGATAGTTTGACTTTTAGACCCACAAAAATCTGGATGTTTGTTTCCTTTTTGAACAATGACCGACCAATCACGCTGTAATCGTCCATCACCTGCAAAAGAAACAGGGCTTCATGAGCCTACAGTCCAAAGTGACAAGAAAAATCATATCCATGAAATACATTGTTTGATGACTTCTACCTGCCTCTTAGAAAACCATTTAGCCCCAAATGAACAGAGCCCTAGACAACTCACTCAAACTGTGTTTAAGGCGATTTGTGTCTAAAACTATAGACAATGTGAATTACTATATTTCAGCTTTCACATCCTTTCTTCTAATATAAGAAGAAAACCTGCATCAGAACATGCTGTAAAGATCAGTTAAAGTCTCTTTTCTTCTTTGAAACCTTTCCACAAAAAGTGTCTTAAGTACCTATGTGCACAAAAAGTTTATGCATTACTTATCCAACAGCTAAGTGCATTATCACCTACATAAACATTCTCTGAAAGTATAGCTAATGGAGTGCAGTTCTGGAGTGAAGTGACAAAGAAATTACAGAATTACTCAGAGTTTCTATATAGACCCTTTTAAATATTCACCTTCGCATACACATTGATTTGTTAAAGTCAAAGCCATATGACCATTGTAAATTATTTTAATTTCAAGGTTTGTAACCCAGTGGGAAGAACCCTTCCAAGTTGAATTCTTAATTAAGCTATCAGGAACAAGAGGCAGTAAGGTTGGTGGGTAAGGTGAGATAAAAAGCCCTCCTTTAGGCATTACAAAGTATAAGGTGCAGCCAAGTGAGCCTAATCCTGTAGGTGTGAGTATCCTTGTATCCCACCTCACGCCTGGAGTTACTCTACCTCATGGCTGTGGCAAGAACGTTGACTTATCAGAAGAAATAGGGAGCTATTACTTAAATCTTTGAGAAATTTTTATTGCTTGCAAAAGTTGCAGCTCTTCTCTATATCTTAGGAACAATTTTTAGATAAAAATAAGGGTTTCAAAAGACCAAAGTGATTTAGAATGGTAAAGAATTATAACCAATTTTGAATACTTCCCTTTATTCAGTTTAAATGACGACTCAAAGTGTTGCTGGTTTATTGAGCCACTCTGCTTTCCTGAAGCCTTTTCCATAGAGAGCAGTTCATATACAGACTCATAAGCCTGGCATTCTTGTTTATTATTTTGTGACATATTTTAATGTCAGCCTTTGTATTACAGTAAATCTAGGATCAGAAATTTAATTTGTATTTTATTTTAAATGGGGTTTACTTGCTCAGCTATAAACAGCTTAGAAAAGGCTGTGCAATATTAGAGACCACTGGCAGGACCTCAGCCCAGTGCAGACCACATGCAGGAGAAGTGTCTACAGCCCTTCCTCCTCCTGTCATGAGGAAACAACAGCAGTACAGGCAGCCCTGCTCCCAGCTCAGTGGGAGGAAAACCATTCCTATGTTTCAACAACATTCACAGCCTGAACATCCACTCCTCATCTTTTCCCAAAAGTCACTATTTTTGTGTGTGTGTGTCCTCTCTCTCTCCCCCTGCCCAACAACCACTGCTCCAAAATAGGTTGTGAACCATTAATGGTAGTGTCACTGCTTGGCAACCTCTGGCTTAAATTTATAATGAATAATGTCTTTTACTACAGCAAATAATAGGAGGTGGTACAGGGGGAAGATAAGCTTTCAGGCACACTTGCCTTTCTTCAGGTCTGAAATAGAAGACTACCAGAAAAAGAAGCTAAAGCAGCATTTACATTCTCAAAACCTTCATTTTTGCAGTTGTATTAGCTGGTGACATAAAAACATTACTTCTTCCTATAAATCTTTTTTTCCTAAAACAAGAATTTCAAAACTGAACATCTCTCTTCTCCACCTCTGGCTACACACTTCTCACCCTCATGTTCAGACAGTTTTCTACACTCCAGTGAGGGTCTTCCAGATATTATTTTTGTAGTTCTCTCCCCAAATAGCAGAGGAAGCCAACTTTAGAGACATTTTATTTTTACAAGAGCTCTTCCAAGTTGTCTTTAACTTGGTTAAAAACTAGATTACAGGGTGAGCAATCATACTAGGCTAGAATGGTTCAGTTTAGAGCCCCCCCAGCAAGGCTGTCAGAAAAAAAAACTCAGAATCATTTCTGAAAACAAGTGTTACAGGCACCACATACCTTTGAGAAAACTAGTTATTATGACCTACAGTTGATGATTAGAACAGCAACAAGATCTACCACCACTTCGGTTATGCCATACTCAGTTAATTGTTTTTTTTATTTTAAACCCCCTCATTTTTATAAGTGGGCTTTTTAGGGTCTTGTATTTGCACACGCAGTTTAGGAAAGTAACTGAGGACTCCAACTGCATTGTGCCTTTCACTCTGATGGATAACTTGTTAAAAAAATCCCTCCTTTAGGTGATTGCTACGTTCCATTCATATCACCATTATTCCTTGGGCATCTCTATAGGCCATTAGAGGAACAACTGCTTTCGCAGTGCTGAGGTATTAGGTGGTAAGTGACTCACTTCAGTGGCTGTTTGGAATAAAACCTTTACAACCTGAAGTCTCAGACCCCTACACTAAGTACCACATATCATAGTGTCCCCTCCAGTTAGTTTATTACCAATTTATCCTTGAACACAACTAAACAATAAGAGAATGTCTGATGTACAAGAACTAAGATCACTGAGCAGCCTATGCAGTAAAATAAATGAGTAAAGGACAGATGATTGCTATGACCAACTTCATTTTCTCAACTTTAAGACCATTTTATAAAAATAAAATCTTTTTTTTTTTTTGTTTTAGCCTTGCTTTGTAAAAAGCCCCAGAAGCTCATGTTTTTCTCTCCAACTGAAACTCAACACTTCCAATTACTTTACCAGCAATTTAACTCCAATTGCTGGATTTTAAGCTAATCCCCTTTGAGTTCTCAGAACATCTACAATGGCAATCACTTTGCCTATTAGTCGAGCAGCCTTTTGGGAGACCTTCCTGCTTTTCTCTTTTTTTTTTTTTTTTTTTTGGTTATAAAATATTAACTTAAAAAGCAAAGACAGTAAGGGATAGGCAGGCTGCTCTGAAGCAGCAGCAAGGGGCCTAGCAATGAGGGCAGACTAATTTTATTAACTTCAGGGAAACTTCAAAAAGCTTGAGGGCTTTAATGCCAGACAGAGACGACCCCAAAAGTCGGTTTAAGTGCTGCATAAACAAAGGATTAGGGCAAGAAAAAGCTGAAGGCTCCTTGCATTTCTTGTTTATATTGTCATAGGACCTAGTGGGAGTGGGAGAGCTGCCTCTCTGGCTCTAATCCCCCCCGGTGTACAGTGGCGTTTCAGTTCACTGACCTACATTAGGATAATATTTTTTTAAATTTATGGGCAGAGGTGCAGCATCAAACTCACTTAAGGACTCTAAAAAAAGAAAAGGGGCGAGAGGGGAAGAAATACCCAGAAGAGAAAGTTTTCTGGCTGGTGGAGTCTCCCCCTCTCACTTAGGTTAGATCAGCAGCTTAGAAAGGGATTTCAAGTTCAAAGGGAACGTCTCTGTTACTCTTGTTTTATGGCTTAGACCAGAGGACACAATAGCACCGAGTTTATGAAATATCCCATCCCACTTGGCTTTTCTGTTCGCAGGAGAAAAGTAAACATCACTTTATAACCATAGGTGAACTATGTGCATCTCTGGCACATAACACTTCTGCTAATACCAAGAAGTTCACAGAAAAAAAAATAAAATCAACCAACTTGCCTCATCTAAGTAGTATTTACGTTACCGTGCACTGTTTGCAAAACCACACCTCATGTTACATGTGTTGGCATTCAGTTTAAACCATAGCAAAATTCCAAGGAAAAATAACTCCACAATTTCCCTTTGAGAAGGAATAGCAAGCAATACTGTCCAAGCCTGTTAAACCGCTCATTTTTGAGGTCACTTAGAAACTACTGTCATTTGAACACCCTCTCAAAAAATCCCACACATTTTTAGAGCAAATAACTCAATGTCTTCACGTATCTGCTGGGAAAAAAAAAAGAGGGGGGATTGTAACAGAAACACAGGAGAAACAAAGCAGTACCAGAAGGAGATGGAAAGTTAGAAGAGGTTTGAGACAAAGTATAAGCACTGAATATTAAATACGAGAGAGACAGAGAGAACAACTTTTTCTAATGTAATCTAAAATTATATTGCACATTTTATTTCTTTTTTTTGTTGTTGTTTTTGTTTTTAAATGCAAGAACAGGCCTAAGGCTTATTCTTAGCAAACTGAAAAATGCTCCATTGAAACTAAAGCATAAAATAGGCAGGGAAAAGAAGAACAAAAAAGAACCTATGACTACTGCTGAAAATACAAAGTATTTTTATTACTTTTTTGTACTTTATCTAAAGTACACTTGAGACATCTTCATCATGATCAGTGGCAGCTCATTTGTTTCTAGAAAACAGATTCACTGTCCCTTTCTGTGTCAGAAATAAGAATATTTTGGAGGCTGCAAATTCCTGTTCTCCTTTTTAAAAATGTGGCTTCAAGCATTGAGAAAATGATGGTACATGAGGCCACAAAAAGGGTGAGGAGAAGGAAGGAACCGAGAGGATTCTACTGATTATTTGGTTTGCAGTTTGATTCTCCAAAAACTGTTCTTTTTTTTTGTTACTGAGAATTAGATGCACAACTTAGTATAAGGAAAGATTTGGTCAGCCAGGTCATTTCCTCAAGAGCTTACATCAGCATAAAAGTATTAAAGGCTTTTATTTCTCCAATTCCTTCTGGCACTAGAAGTTTTCAGTTGTGTTCTAAAGAGCTTCTTCTGACCGTTCTCCAAGTGAACACACTAAGCTTCTGCTTTGAGCAGCCATCCAGGAAGAAGGGACAGGAAAAGTTCATCTCCTTCTTGTCTCACTACTGCTGTTGTAACAGAGCAAGACATCATGCAGACCTCTCTGCATATCCAGTAACTTTGCTTTTCAAATATTTCTCCCATTTCTCCCCAGCCAGTGCTTCTTGTATCCAAGAAGCATCTTCCTTTCTCTGCCATTCTCTTCCTCAGTAAGGGCATGAGTGCATTTAAGAATTTCTAACAAGGAGCCATAAATGCCACTCCCTTTGCTGAGC